TAACAGGGAAAGATCAGGGAAACGTAGCTTTTTTGAGAGCATCCGAGCAAAGGAATGAATGGAAAACCATGATCGCCGATGTCTCAATGTCTGTCGCAGATCTGGCACTGGATGATGATGATCAATATAATCAATATTCCGTGTATTTATCTATCTTTTAAATGTCTTTCACTTGCCTATAATTGGTGCTCTTTTTTCAGTGTGGGGTGTCAGCAAACTCAAGAGGCTGTCAAATGTATCTGGTTTCATTCGAATGTATCCAATACATTGTAATATTTTGTCTTTATGTGACACAATTTGGGTTGCAGATGGTGATATTCGCCATATAATTGTCTATCGACCAAAATTGGGTGGACCCAGTGCTTCCTATTGTTCCTCTTATTTCTTTCTTTTAACAACAATAAAATCTTAAATTTAGTCTTATCATCCATATTGATATAAAACACGCACGAATAGACGGATGATGTGTGAACGGGCACACGTCTGTACGTTAGACGAATGCACGCTGTCGCACGAACGCGGATGTTTGACGTGTAAGAGCCGTAACTCGGCAAAGATGAGCCTACCGCATAGATGTACAATGTACACTATAGTCAAGGAGGTAACTCTATGGCATACCGAGATTTCGATCATCACGCATTTGTTTACTCGTCACATCCATGCTTTAATCTGCAAAACTCCTGTCCTTTTTTACACTCCAAATGAAAAGGCTGCCCATGGCCATATTACAAATTTTTCAGCCAGACAACCATTTTTTAAAATTTGCTGACTGTTTCGTGTGATGTTCATACAACTTAATTTAATAAATGAAGAGTCAGAAGAGTGAGTAACTGAGTTCCAACACATCGGTAGTGTTTAATGTTTCGTCACAGGGCTGGAAGTTGTTCGACAGTTAGGACGTAGACTTTCTATCCTTACGTCAACTCGAGTAACTTCAACAATGACTAAATACCTTGACGGTTAGTACAAGAACGTATAGCTAAGTACACGTAACACTGACTACTAAAACATATGGTGGTGAGTGGGCAGCCCTGCTAATGCACACCTAAACACTTCTCCTTCCCCCTCCCCCCAAACACACAACCACACACACACACACACACACACACACACACACACACACACACAAACTCACACAAAAAAACATATACAGACACAAGTTTTAAAAACATTATTAGATCTGCCTAAAACTAAAAATATCACGAAAAGCAAGCCCCACTCGATGGTAACTACGTTAAGCGGGGTGACGTTAGTCTTTTAAAAAAAATCTTCTTCGAGTGTATCAGAAACACAGTTACTAA